TTAATTACTAACATTACTGTCTCACCAAGCAAGGTGAAATAGTCAAGCTAATGATTAGGTCCCATTCTTCTGGGAGAGTAATCCAGAGCTGAAGATCCATTGGGGACTACTTCTTGGTGGTGAAAACAACCTCAACAGCATGTAGGGGGATAGTTATCCTCCCAGCAACCCAGCTCAACAGAAGTAATGTGAGGCAGGGTTGGAGCAGGACCAGGACAGGCAGGAGAATCCAGTCTGTGAAGGCCAACGAGGGTAACTAGCTCCAACATCCCTGCCCAGCAAGTACTTGGGTTTTCGGCAAGGGCAAACTGAGGGTAAAGACAGGGAACACGAGACTGGTCTCAGGCCGATTGCCTTCCAAATTGTCCCTTAATAATGATTCCCGTGAAATAATTATTTCTATCGATGGTCAGCTAGTACAGAGGATTTAAGGTAGTGGGTTCATTAACGAGAGTAAGGATCACAAACTCATTTAAGTCTCCTTGAACTGTTTAATCAAAATGATTTTCTGCTACTCTCTATTACAAGCTAAGTTTCTGTGGTGACAGATTAATGACTGATCCAGGAAGCCAAACCACCTCTCCTGTCACCAACACCAGCAACTGAGCTGGCTACTATTCTATCAATAAGCCCCACTTGCCCTTGAAACTCATTATAGCTGAGATGGTACGATCAAATGAGTACTGCCACCCAGGTTCTGCTACAGAGACCACCATATCCCACAGTGTGTGCACCAGGAGAACAAGAACGCAGACTGGTGCTGTGGTCTCATTAGAATTACAAACTCAGGTCTCTCTGGAGTAAGATAAATGCCAGCCCAGGCAACACTTCTGATTCTTCAGGCCTGCTGAAGGTAATTATCCTGGAGTTAAATGTCAGGGTTAGTTTCATGTGTGCAAAAGAAAGAAAATGTCATGTTTGGGGTAAGCAACAATATTGTCTTAATCAAATCAGAAGCTCATTATTAGCAGGTGATAAGCCCTGATGTGACCCTTACAACAAGCTCTGGCTACCTGGCTTCCCTTCCACTTTGTCTCAGCCTGCATGTTTTTGTTGATTGTCCTTGGACATAAAGCAAAAAACTCACAATGGGTTATCAATAGAGGCTCACACCCAAAAGTCACTCCATCAATTCAGAGCATAGAAAGTCTACCTAGTTCCAGCCTGATTTTGCCACAATCCCCCGTCACCTGGAAAAAGGTTTAACCTCACTGTAAATGGGGGATAATCACAATACTTCTCTCCTAGGATGATTATAAGTATTAAATGAGATAATACATGGAAAGTAAAGAAGTCTGGCACACTAAGCACTTGATAAATGCTAGGTATTATCTACTACTGAAATGTTCTCATTTTTTTAATTACGAGCAGTATGTATTTTTTATAAGAAAAAAATTGAGGCCTCTGCAGTGGCACAGCAGGTTGAGTGCAGCGCTGTGAAGCTGTCCACAGCCTCTGCAGCGTGGATTCGATGCCCAGATGGCCAGGGAGCTACCCACATGGCATGGCAGACCTCTCCTGCCTCACCTGCTGCTCCCCTTAGCAGCATCTTTTGGTCCGTCTACTTGTTATGCTCCCCAATCTGTCTCTGGACAGAATTCCAGAGGGTGAATTTTCTCACCCTCCCGCACCTTTGGCCTGTACCCCAGTTCTTATATAAATAAATCTTTAAAAAAAAAAAAAAGAAAGAAAAATTGTATTTAAAAAAAAGACATAATAAGAAGGAAATTTAAGACAGTGTAAATGAAAAGGATTTCCTCCAGTAGACAAGAGGTTACCTAAGAAGAGCTCACATTTATTTATCTTACTCTTAGAATCCAGGGCCTACCTCCATGGTAGACAATCAAATCTTTGTTGTAAAGAATAAATATACAAATGAATACAAGAATGAACAGTGAAAGATTTACTTATAGTAATGCTATGAAAAGCCATACATGGGACAAAAAATTTTAAAAATCAGGAGAATGGGTTGTGGCAACTCTCAGCCTCAACCCATGCAGGAGTTAAACTGCATGACAGGTGGGAAATTACTGTACAACCTGATTTAAACATCCTCATTGTCTACTTCTTAATATTGTATTTGTGTAATCGTCTAGGCCTCCATTTGGCCAAAACATCCCAGTTACTAGTCTTCATTAAAGAAAGATAACTAAATGAAGAGACCATCAGTACAGTTAAGAGGAAACATCTCCTATTATCTGAATGTTAAGTTTTTCCTGGATCTATCACTCCAGGCAATAAGCCATGCCATGGACTATGTGTGAAAGTTGTACTTCTGCAAAGGAGATAGTAATTATTTGTGTATGCAGAGCAGCAGAACTACTTCAAAGCAATCAATAGAAGCTATCAGGTCAGGTCATCTCTGGCAATGTCACAGCACACCCGACACAGTCCACCAGCATTTCCCGTCTAAAGTTACAGATAGCAACCAATGGGTATCATCAGCTCTCTAATACCTTAGTTTTTAAGATTCTCACATTCAAACTCTCTTCTAAATAGCTCTACCTTAAGAGCAAAAAAGTGACAAGTCAGGGGAAAGGTAAAAATCTTTCTTTCATAAAAATTTGCAAATACTGACAAGCATCTTAACAATAATCTCGGGACAGTCTTTCAAAGTTATCAGTGATTCCAACAAAATAGCTAAAACAGTAGCAGAGATGCTGAGGCTGTGTCAACGCCCAGGAAGGCTTGGATCAGGCTGGCAGAACAAGTGCACCTCTAGCTGGGGATTTGTCCACTTTCCAGTAGGACAGTGGTTTCTATAAAAAGTGACGTTTTCTCCTTGGTCTCAGGGGGAACCAGTAAATTATCCAATTGGAGATGCGTGACCTAAAATAGCATCTAGGTTGAGCTCCACAACACTTAAAAAGGGGTTTGTGGCATTAAATTCTAAGCCACAGTTGGCATCAGAAGCATACACAGAGCATAAAGATGGTTGATAGTCGAAGATGTTTGTAATTTCTCAACATTTTTACATGTCATAAATGGTATGCTGGATTAAATTGTCATTTTGAAAAAATACATGCTGCTAATATTAGTTTAAAACCAAAATCGCCCCAGAAACATGAAAGCAGAACATTTAAACATAGAAGCTTTTCTCTTTTTTACTGTTAAACTTTGGACAGTTTTACAATATTTATCGCAGAATTGTATAGTACTTAAGAATTACCTACTACATTTGTTTAAAATACAGATTTCCAGCACTCACACAGAGATGTGCAACCAAAATTTACACAAGAGGAGTGTGGGTGCTACAGTTGAACAATCACCCCAGATGAGCCTCATGATCAGTCAGATTTGGAAAAGCATGGATCCAAGGATAACAAAATGCCAACATTCCACAAGAAAGGCAAGAAATGAAAAACTCAATTTTTAAAAATATAAAGCCACATGGAAAATAGCAATGGCATGCTTATGGCACAGAGAGACCAGAAAACCCTAAATAGGCACAGTGAACCTTTCACACCAAAACGACCTCAAAGCACAGGTGTTTTCAATCTGAACCAGCAGCCATACCAAGTAAGGTTTCTGCAAAGGTGGCCCTTCACCTCTACACCTGGCCCAATTCTCCCACCTCTAGCAGAGGTAAGCATCTGCCTGTTCCTCAGCTCTCTCAAATGTTTGGATTTTTTTTAAGGCAAAATTATATATCTATCCTATATGAGCCCGTGAATGGAAGAGTCACAGTCTGGGTATGTACAGCTGAACAGAAAGGGGAAGGAAGATGGTTGAGAGAGCAGAAAGGTTTGGCAGGGATATCTTGGGGGGTGGGGGGGAAGAGGCATAGCTGCTGTAAAACGAGGACCCCAAAGAGCTATGGAAGTTCATCGAAAGAGCTAGAAAGCCCCTGTAAGAGAGCAGCAGTGCACTGTCAACTATAGGGAGGTGGGTGAAAAAGAGAGAAGAGAAATAAGCCCCCATCAGGATGACAGGCACACCTGCTCCTCTAGAATGGGGCCAAGCCAGGTGCCCCTTAGCAAGTGCAAGAAACCACGTAGAGTCACTGGATTCCTCAGAACCTCTCCCTGAACGGGCTGGTGATACCAGGAATGGGGCTCAAGGAAGCCACTGAAGGAAAGAGACCGCTACACATCCCTCATGCAGAGCCCCTGTCACAAAAACGGGGGCTCCGTGGCACGGGTCTCAGAAACAGGAATCCCTAATGCTAAGTATTATGAAAGTTCGTTCCTAGTCTCCTAGGAGGGCACAGCTCAGACACCTGGGACAGCCTTTAAATGAGCTGGCAGCCGCTCCCACAGCACAGAGGGGATGCCATCTGCTGGAAAGACTGCACCGGGTGCTCCTTGGCCTGCATCTTCCAGGGCTGCACCTGGGGAGCAGAGGCAGGCAGCAGGTGTGCCTCAGGATACCCCAGGATAGCTCCCCTGTCAGGGATCCCCACTGCCATCCAGGCTCCCCTTTGGGGCAGGAGGAAAATCATGTCAGCAGAATGCTCCCTTTCCCTTCCCCTAAATACACCGAGGGTCAAAACCACTATGCCTCCTGCAGTGTTTTATGCAGCAGGTTGCCCACAACCTTCCAAACTTCCTGGAACACCTGGCTCCCTAACGAATGAACTGGGCTCCCCCCTCCAACCTAAGCCCTCCTGCAGGGATTCTTCTGGCACAACCTAGCGATGATCCAGATTACGGCTGCCCCACAGGATTCTCTAAGAGGGACGCCAAAATCAATCATCAACGTTTGCAGAACCCAGCAGCTCAGGAAGCCTCTCTCGCCGCCGCAGCTGCCGGCTGTTCCTGAGTAGCGCGTTCGTGCCGACACCTCCCCCACGCCTACAAATAAGCACACCTGGACCACAGGTAACAGGCAAGAGCCTCGAGCCTTTGAAGTTCTCTTTAAAGTTCCTGCATGCGAGAAGCATCCTCGGAAACCACGGCCCAGCTAGGCGTGCGGGAAGGTCGCCCCAATAGCTCCCCACCCGACTTCAGAGACACCCCCCGCCACAGGTTCCCCCCAGGGAGCCGGAAGGCGGCACTCACGTCTCGAAAGCGGTTCCAATACTTGTCCCGGTCGTACTGCGAGACGGTGCTCAGCCACTGGTCATTGTCCAAGAAATTGCCGTGGTTGGCGCCGGCGCCTCCCGCGGGCGCGTCCAGGTGCCGGCTCTCGCCCTGGAGGAAGCACCACGCCGCGACGGCCGCCGCGAGCACCGCGAGCGCTGGCATCTGCCGGGCAGGGGGCGAGGCGGGGGCCGTGAGGCGGGGGCCGCGGGAGGGCGAGCCCCGGGCCGGGCACCCACGTCCGGGCGCCTCCGAGGCGGGCCCGGCCGGGGCGGCGGGGGGCTCGCGCGGGGGCAGGGGCATCCCTAGCACACCTGGGCCGGTGCGGCGCCCTCGGGCCCCCTCACGAACGGGGGGTTCTGTGGCAGACAAGAGGCTGCGTCACAAATTAGGGGCGGCTGTCAAACTACAGAGAACCCCTGTCGTCCGTTCTCGGGCGTCCCACAGACCGCGGCTCGGGCTCGCGCGCCTCAGGCCCCCTCCCCCAAGGCGCGCCGCGCTCCCGGGGAGGGGCCCAGAGCGGGGGGGGGTCTGAGCAGCCCCGGCGGAACCCGGCGGGGGGCCGCCTCCGGGGGTCTCGGCCCCCGGGGCGCGCCGCGTCCGCCGCCGGCCCCGCGCGCGGGGGAGCCCCAGGCCCTGACCCCGCCAGCCCCCGGGAGACGCGGGCAGGTGCAAACTACGCCAAGTTGGGGCTCGGGGTTCCACAGAGCGCATACCTTGGGGGCCGGCTCGGGTCCCCACGTCCGAGTGGCGCGAGCTCCTGTGGTGCGGCTGCCGAGGCCAGCCAGCCGGCTCGCTCTCCTGCGCGCCCGCCGCCCGCCGCCGCGCGTCCGGCCGCTTTGTGAGCCCGCAGCGCTCTGGCTGCGCTCGCTCGCCGGGGACTGGCTCGGGCGCGGCGGCGCGGGCGGAGGGGCCCGAGCGCCCAGCCGAGGCCTCTGGCGACCCCTGGTGGCCGCGAGCCGCGCCGCGCCCGGCCCACGGCCGCGGGCTCCGCAGCCCGGGATGGGCTCCCCCGCCGCCTCGCGCAGGGCCAGGCGGGTGACCGCCCGTGAGAGCACGGGGCGTCTCGGGTCAGTATCTGGTCAGAAATGCTCCCCGGCCACCGAAGGGACAGTCACCTCGGTGGGGGAAAGAGAGAGCTTCTTAAATATAGGGATCCTTGGCTCACCACCCCCTTACTGAATCAGTTCTCAGGAGGGTCTCCCCCAGGTGAGGGAGTTTCTGCACTGCCCACCCCAGTCCCTGCTCGTCCCCGCACCCCTGCATCCTCATGCCCTGTGCCGTGCCCACTGCTGCCAGTCCCTTAAGTCAGCTCTTCTAGCCTCGGCGTCTATCATCTTTACATCCTTGTGTCCCCACAATGATACTGTGCGGGGTGCAAAGAAGCCCCCCCCAAAAAAAAAATGGCCCCAGCACCATCCTGTTGGGTTCCTAGCGGGAAGGAAGAGGAAAGAGAAGAACTAGACCCAGCTTCAGGACATGGAAACAGGAGGTTCAGGAGACTGGCCTTAACCCTACCCCTGTGGGCTTTCCAAGCCCTTAGCTATGTCTGATCCAGCAAGGCTGGAGGGATTGGTGCAGGCCCCCTACCTGTGTCTGTGGCACTTGTCAGCCTCCGTTCCCGAGAGGCCTGTGTGCTCTTTTACAAGTGGAACATACTCAGCCTTCCCCCCTCAACACACACTTTAAAACTTCATATTGCTTTTCTGTTCATTCCCATTCCCTACACAGCTGGTCCCTACCTGCCTCTCTGGCTGCCTTTCCCACCTTCCCTTCTCCTTGCCTCACTTCCTGACAGGGGCAGACCTCAGTGAGATGGGCTCTCTCCACCAAGGGCATTCACTTCTGCCTGAGCCACTCACTGTCCACACCTATCACCAACACAGGCCTCAGTAATTTACCCTCAAGCTCGCTCTTCCTGACTTCTGCAGTGAGACACTTGTTGAGCTGAGGGACTGGGTCAAAACCCAGGTGACACTCCCTTGAGAACACCACGGTTCTGACTGTAAGCACACTGCACTTGAACTCCCTTACTCCACTTCTGCTCCCATCTGGCGGGAACCCCATGAAGGCAGAGCCCATGTTTGGCTTGTTGACTGCTGCCCCCAGGACTCATATCCAAATTCCTACAAAAGATCTGGTGAGGATGGTCTCACTCATAGCAGGAATCTAGAAAACCTAAATAAGGGACCAGGAAAAAGAATAACTGTAAGAAAGAAAAAATCAAAATCAACAAACAACTATGAACCAGAGACACTATGGGGAGGGGGGCGCAGGGAAAGGAGGGATTGGGATCAAAATAAGAGGGGGGACGTACAATTGTATGGGGAATATAAAAATAAATTTTTTTAATAAAATAAAATTTTATGATACAGAAAAAAAAAGATCTGGTGAATGTACAAATGAATGGCACCCAACTAAGATGTGGACCCACATTTCTCAGCCAATATGCCCCAGTGGATGTGATGAGGTCCATGGTAAGTTGTACTGCAAATAATCTGGGTGTGTGTACAGCAGGCCTTGGAACATTGTTGTTATAACGTTGATGAATAAAAAGCATCCCAGCCAACATTGAAGAGAGCTTATTAGAGGGTGGATTTCGTTATATCATTTTGTTACGCCATTTTGCTTAAAGTCTCAGTTTCCAAGATCCTATCCACAACATTAAACAAGGACTTACTGTGGTTTCATCTGCGAAAGTTGGATTAAGATTTTTCCTTAAAAGTAGCAGATGCTTTTCCCAGCATTACTCTGACTGATTTACATTCCTAGAAGCTTTTTTGAAAGAAAAAGAAGTGCAGCCATGATTATTATATCAGGGACTGCATGTCATCCATAGTTTATTTTATCATGGGGGTATTTCAGGTATTTCAGTGTCATATTGTGTGTGTATCAAAGCAAGAGAGAAAGAGAGGTTTAGAAATGATGGACATTTGGGCCTCCCCAGTGGCGCAGCAGTTGAGCGAAGCTGCCCGCAGCCTCTGCAGCTCCGGTTTGATCCCCGGCCGCCGGCGAGGGTCCCACATGGCACGAAGACCTCTCCTGCCACCCGCTGCTCCCCTCAGCAGTGTACTTCGGTCCTTCTGCCTGCTCTGCTCCCTGCTCTGGCTCTGGTGAATTCTCTCACCCTCCCGCGCTTCTGACTGTACCCAGTGCTTCAGTGCTTATATAATTAAATAAATAAATCTTAAAAAAAAAAAAGAAATGATGGAGATTCTTCAATAAAAATTAATAGTTAATAATAAAAAAGAAATGATAGAACAGTTCTTACTTTCATAGAAACCTAAGTAAGCAGCTAGTTCCCCCCTTCCCTGCCCAGTTTGATGGCCACACTTCTCCAGAGTTGTCCTCAGATGTCATTTCTGCCTCCTCAGCTCCAATTCATTCTTCCACCCACTCTAATCTGAACTTTTCATCCTCACTGACTAATAGAAATGACTTGTCACCATCAGCAACCTCCTCCAAGTCACCAGACTGAGTGGGCACCCCTCCATCCTTCCCTCCTTACCCTCTGAGAAGTTTCTTTAGGCTCTCGTGCCACCACCCCTTCCTGGCTTTGCTGTCCCCACCCGTCACCCCCACATCCACACCACAGCTTCTTGGGACTCTGGTCTATGTCCTCTCTCTTTCCACCTGATCCCTTTTGCTGGATGTTCCCATCTAGTCCTGCGCTGAGATTCCAGACCAGAAGTGTCTGGTGGCTTCCAGCTGGGAAAGGGAAGCCTAGCTTTCCTCCATGATCCTGTGCTGAGTCATGTCTCACGGCAAAGGTATCCTTATGCAGGCTCCCACCAAAGCCAGGAACCTACACATCCTCTTCAGTCCCTCGATGTCCCTGGCCCCTGTTACCTCCCACCCTGGCACTGCAGTGGCTCCGTGGCGAGTTTCCTTGATTCTTTACTTTGCCCTCCCACCCATTATTCACTTGGGAGTCAGCGCTCTCGATTTTTCGTTTTCTTTGAAATAATCTTGGATGATAGCATTTTCTAGGTTTTGGGTATACCACACCACCATTTCCTGCCACCACTGTACAGTGAATCTGTTGCTTGATTTGCCCACCCCCTTTCTTTCTAGCGAGCATCATTCTGTTCTCGAAGTCTAAGAGTTTGTCTTTGTTTCATGAGGTTTATTTCTTTTTTTTTTTTTCAACTTTCAGGTACACAACCTTATTACATTTCAAACTCTGTATACACTACATTATGATCACCACCAGAAGTCTAGTGTTCATTCCCACCAGACAACTGAACTCCCTAACCCCTGTCCCCACCCCCAGAAACTACCCTTTCCCTCTGGTAATCCTTCTGGTGGAAAGACACAGGCTGTTGGTGTAGTACACCTGAAACCTAGAAAATGCTGAAAACTGACATTACCAAGATTCTGTTGTCAGAATCTAAAAGTTTGTATTTTGTTTGGTCTATTTGCTTTGTTTCTTTACCTTCCATATATTCTACAGTATTTGTCTTTCACCGTCTGATTTAGTCACTTAGCATAATCCCCCCACACTCCACCCATGTCATTGAGAATGGCAAAGTTTCATCTTCCTTTATACCTGAGTACTATTCCATTGTGCATGTAAAGGGATGGAAAAAATACTCCATGCAAATGAAAGCAAAAAACTGAAAAGCTATTACAGTTGTACTCATACCAGGCAAAACAGACTTTAAAACAAAGACTCGTAATAAAAAGCAACCTATGTGCCCATCAAAAGAGTAGTCTTTTTAAGAGAGAAATAACTCTTGCATAAAGTCTTTCAATGGCGCACCACAACACTAAAACAGAATCCATACTCAGTTCCATGACTGATAAAGCCCTGCACCATCTGGTCTCTTGCCCTCTGCTTGTTTCTCTGGATTCTAGCCACAGTCTTTGTCATGATTCTGTGCCCAGAGCAAGCATGTTCTTACCTCGGGCCCTCTGCATGGTACTCTCCCTGCTCTTCACAGGTCTACTCCATTCTAGATGTCAGCTGTCACCTCAAATGTCACCACCTCTCTGAAGCCTTCCCTGATTACCCAGTCAAAATTAGGTCTTCCCCATCCCAGTCACATCACTATTGTCTAGCCTTGTACCTTGCTGTTCCCTAAGCATATTTGTTCCTTTATTATCTCTTCCCAAATTCAGATACTAATCCTAAGAGGACAAACATAACTCTCACTTCTGTATCC